AATTATTTTGACTGACTAAAATCTATGTTTACTGCTTAAAAACTAATATTTACTACTATTTACCTATACTACTATTTATAAAATTAGAAGTATTTCAAAAAAACTTTGGATAAAAATAACTTTTAATACAGTTTAAAAAAAAATTAGATTCTCTGACTATGACTGGCCGTTACTATTTAAAAAATTGCTCTATTGATACTAAAATTACTGAAATATAAACATTTTGTCTGAGAGAAATTGACTTGTACTACTTAAAAAATTACTCGAAATATCAATAATAAAATTACGAGAATATAAAATTTTTGTCTGGCTAAAACTTACTTTTACTACTTTTGCCTGAGAATTAGAAGAATTATTATTACTGGTTGGCTGACTAAAACCGACTTTTACTACTTAAGAAATCAGTCAGATTATCGATACTAAAATAAAAAGTATATAAACATTTTCTTTGACTGAAATTCAGTTGTACTAGTTATTTAAAAATTAAATGAAATTTAACAACTTGTCTGACTGAAACTGACTTGTACTACTTAAAAAATTACTCGAAATATCAATAATTAAATTAGGAGAATATAAAATTTTTGTCTGACTAAAACTTACTTGTACTACTTTTGCCTGAAAATTAGAAGATTTATTACTGATTGGCTGACTAAAACCGACTTTTACTACTTAAGAAATCAGTCAGATTATCGATAGTAAAATAAAAAGTATATAAACATTTTCTTTGACTGAAATTCAGTTGTACTAGTTATTTAAAAATTAAATGAAATTTAACAACTTGTCTGACTGAAACTGACTTGTACTACTTAAAAAATTACTCGAAATATCAATAATAAAATTACGAGAATATGAAATTTTTGTTTGACTAAAACTTACTTGTACTACTTTGGTCTGAGAATTAGAAGAATTATCACTGGTTGGCTGACTAAACCCGACTTTTACTACTTAAGAAATCAGTCAGATTATCGATAGTAAAATAAAAAGAATTTTCTCTAACTGAAATTCAGTTGTACTAGTTACTTAAAAATTAAATGTTTAACAAGTTGGCTGACTAAAACTGACTTTTACTACTTAAAAATTTACTTTTATTAATCGTAGTAAAATTCGAAGAATATAAACTTTTTTTTCTAAGTTATATATTTGCATGTACAATTTCTAAAATTACAAGTATTTCAGTAATATTTATATATGTATTTTGTCTGTCTAAAACTAACTTTTACTACTAAATAAAGAAATCATCAGAATTTTAAACATTTTTTCTGATTAAAATTAACTTGTACTATTTGAAAAATTATTATAATTACTATAACTGAAATTACAATAATATCAACGCTTTGTCTGACTAAAACTCCTTTGTACTACTTAATTGAGAATTAGATGAATTTTAATAAATTTTGCTGACTGTGACTGCTTTATACTAATTATAAAATTACTCTAATTACCGATAGTAAAAATAAAAAAAAACAAAATAGTTTTCTAAAAATATCAAAATAAAAAAAATGAAAATGATTAAAAAAATTTTTTTTAATTTACAAATTAAAAAAATTAATTTTTCAAAATCAAATTGTAAACTACAAGTATTTTATGCTATCGACAGTTTTCGGAAATGACGACTTAATTTGGCTACTAAATAGGCATTTTTTTTTTTTCTCAAAGAAGCTGTCAATTTTAAATTGGCTGGAAATCCTGTTTGATGGATGAGCTTCTACGATGGTTTGGGTTAAAAATAATAATAAAAAAAAAAAAAAAAAAAAAAAACGAGTAAAGCAATCGAATTGCTGAATTGCCTCTAACGTTTGATCATCGAAAGTTAAAGTACAAATGTCCCTAAGGATGTGTGCTCGTTAATCACCGATCGCGTTTGGCCGAGGGGGAGACATGCCATCGGATAAGAGGTCGGGTATATTGCACAGGACGTTTTAATATGCGCAGCTTGCACACTGCGATATGATATTGCGCGCACGTTGCATAAGATCTCTAACAAATGAGAGAAGACACCTTTTGACCTCAAAAAAAAAAGAAAAAAAAAAAAAAAACATGCTGTGCCTTCTCATATCCTCTTTGACCTCTATGACAAATTCCTGTCAAGAGTTAACGTTTTCCGTCGTGACTTTTTTTGTATACTTAAAAGCTTTTTTTTATGCCGAGTGTATTCTTCAAAATTAAAAAAATCAATAATGAAACAAATATTTATTAAATAATTCCTGAAATTATTTAATAACAATGTAATGAATAATATAATTAATAAAAAAAAAATTATAAAAATTTAAATATAAAATAAAAATATCGAATAATATTTAAATTTACAAATAATAATTTCAAATTATTTAAATGTGTTCAATTTTTGGAATTTTATTATATCTTTATATACCTGCGAATCCCGAGCTGTATGTTTACATTCAAGTGCACAAAGGGAATGTTAAGGTCATAAAAGTCGGGATGAAAAATATCAAATTCAATCAGTTACAATTCGTGTATTGACCTGGTTAGACGTGGTCAACGGGAGTGTAAAGTAATTTTAAAAATAAAATTTTTCTTTTGCTAACTTTTTTTTTTATTTAATAATTAATATTTTCACATTTAAATAGTAAATTATTTCGGGAGTGCTCGATTTTTTTTCTAATTCGCGAACGAAAATATTTTTTTTACTAATTTCTTTTTATTTTTAGTTAATTTTTTTTCGGGTGTATTCGAAATTTTAAAAACCGCGTACGTTGGAAATTTTTAGGGAAAAGTAGTTTGTTTTTTTTGTAATTTAAATACATCGTTTCGGGAATGTTCGAAATTTTTTTAAATCGCGAGCGTTTCTTACAAATCTGGCTGAAAATTTATAATAGGGGAGACCGAGGAGGAAAGTAACAAAAATCAGTTTTTTTATGCTAGCATTAAAAATATTTGTCGGATAAATTTGTCCAATATATTAAATGAAAGCTTGGACATTCACCTTTTAAATAAAATTTGAATTAAACATTTATAATAAATTGACAGTTCACAGTATAACTTTTACGCAAGCTCTTCATCTGTTACTTTCCTCCTCACCCCCGAGGAGGAAAGTAACAAGCTCCTAGGAGGAAAGTAACAGTATCAAATTATGTAAAATTCTTTAGACTAATGACTATTATTAATTAGAAATATTTTTATTAGGAACACATAAAAGTTTAAGTACCCTTTATACTTATTTGGCACATATTTGGGACATATTTAGCACATATTTCGAACATTTTATGAATTTAGCTCATTTTTTTTCTTAAAGATATTTTATGCTTACCTAGATCACAGGTTTTTCTTAAATAAATCTCTGTTATTCGTAAAATTAAATACGATTTGCTTCAATCATTAATTAAAACATGGACAATATCGACAACAGGAGAAAAGTAGCGTGTTACTTTCCTCCTCGGTCGATTTTTTCTTGTATGTCAACAAAAAAGTTAAAACTACACAACTGTTAAATTGTTTGTTTAAGCACAACTTAAAGACAGATAATAAGGCTACAAAATAACGAAAGGCACATTTTGAAAAACAATAAAATTAAAGAAATACGAGACTTTGAAAATTTGAACGAAAACTTACTTTTGACGTTTTTTCTGCACGTCACACCGGAATCAGACCTAACCTTTCCTGTCAGGCTCGGACACACTATGGAGGAGGAAGGGGGAACAGTGCCGACTAAAAATATGTTTGAACCATGTCTATCCGATAATTTGTTTAAAAGTTATAAGCTTTGTTACTTTCCTCCTCTGTTACTTTCCTCCTCGGTCTCCCCTACTTTGTGTTGGACGATAAGGTTAGAAATATATATATTTTTTTATAAATAATTAAAAAAATAGTAATTAAAAATAAATTTAATATATCAATTTTTTTGTTTTTACGAAAATTTTGTTGTCCCTTACAAAGTAGGGAAAATTAAAAAATAATTTAATAAAAATTCTAGTCTTCTATCAAATAAAAATATAATTAAATTTAAATATTTGAAATTATTAAGTAAAATGTGTCGGAAGAAATTTTAAGAATTTTATTACTTTCATACCTGCGAATCCCATTTGTTTACATTAAGTTCACAAAAGGGAACGTTTATGGTCATAAAAGTGGAAATTGAAAATATCAAATTCCATTGTTGATTAATTTACAAATTAATAATAAATATTTCTTTACTTATTTATAATTTATAAATAACAATTTTTTGCATCTGCATTTTTCTCAGTAAAAAAAATTTTTAAATATTACATCAAATTTTTATTTCTTTCAAAATATTTTTTTTTTTGTCATTTTCAAGCACAGGATATTAAAAATCAAGTTAACAAAAATTCTATTATTTTCCATTGGAAAAATTAAGAAAAATTGATGTTTTTATGCAGTGTTGGAAAAAAATTGTTTTTATTTTTCTATAAATATTGGATTTTTGTTCTCTCTAGTGAATAAAATTTCTTCTTCCTATTTTTTTTGATACCAAATTGATAATTTTTTTATTTCTATATTTTGATTATTGTGAAAAATATTTACAGAAGAGTAAATAAATATTTTTATAGAATAAAATATCCAAATACTTCCTCTATAAGAAAGCAAAATAAATTCTTTTTTTCAACAAATTCTATCAGTGAATTGGAAAAATATATTTTGTTTGTTCGGAACAAACGTTTTCTTCACATATGTAGATGGAAAAAATGTGTTAAAATTGTTGAAATCGATTTTGAATTGTCGAACATTTTTTTTTCAAAAAAAAAGAATAAATAAAATGGATAAACGTCATATAAGATATTTTGTAATTTTTGACAAGTGTTGAAATAGAAATTGAACGCTTTTATTAATTTTATTTTATTTACAAAGACACTTTTTTTTTAATATTCAAAAAAGAGGATAGTCCCTTTTGTACGTCTCCATTTGATGTTTTTGCGCAAGTGTCAACATTTTGTAAATTCAAAGGATACAAAGAATTTTAAATCTCATGTTGTACCTTAAACACTCGAGTTTAATAATAGATTTATTCTCTCCTCTTTTTCCAGACGTACCAGATGCACCTGAACGTCCAATGGTGAAATCGTTTACCTCACGTTCAGTTGAACTCTCATGGGCTCCCAGTGCAAATTTCCACAACAATCCAATTTCTCATTACGTCGTGTATGTTCGGTGAGTCTTTAAAATTTATTTTCTCCTTTTTAAATAATTTTAAATATTTGATTTTTATTAAGTTATGTTCGATGAATCATTTTTTTTTTTGGATTTTTTAATCCCTAGAATAATTTTTATATTTCATTCATTTTGGATTTTTAATCCGTAATTAATCGAAGTTCAAAAAACTGATTGTTTGGGGAGGAATTTTTCCATTTTTTTTTTTTTTATTTATTTTTTTGCAAGTTCGTTTCTACGAACGCAACTGCACTTAAATTTTTTTGCGATGAAAAAGAGTTGGGGTTGATTGTCGGGTTTCATTGAAACGGTACTCAATCTCATGTCAGGTACAGATCAAAGTCTGAAAGAGAATCACTACCACGATAACGTTGGCTTAACATTGATGAAGATTCGTGAGATCTATTGGTACATTGTGTGACAAGGAGATTTACAAGGTTTTTGAGAGGATAGAGAACAAGTGATACGACCTGTAATCACTCAATAGATATTCATCATCGTTGAAAAAAAAAAACAGAGAATTTTTTTTTTTCTCTTTTCTTTTTCAACCATTCTCGAAAATAATAAATCGTTATTCTCGCAATAACACATTTTTTTTCTAATACTTTGCCAAAAATTTTTTAGTGAACTAAATCAAATATTTATAAATAAATTTTTAATTCTTTTTCTTTAATACATTAGCAAATAAGAATTATAAGAAACATTTTTAAGAATAAATAGCAAATGTTGTAAATATGTTATGCATAAATTACAAATTGTTGTAAACATGTTATGAATACTATGAATATATTACGAATGTTTGAAAATTTCTTATGCCAATTCTGTATACATTATAAACGTTTTACATACGTTATGAATACTATGAATAAATTACAAGTATTGTAAATATATTCTAAATGTTCCTGGTATTCTATAAAATATGAAACTAATAATAATTATAATTTTTTTTCACATTTTTCTGATTTATTTTATAATACAAGGTTTTATCTCTTCTATATATATATATATATACGAAACTAGTTAAATTTTGTTAATATCAATTATTGTGCTTGTTTTGTCTGAAACGCTTACTTAGGTGGAAAATATTATTTTGCCCCCTGGTTATTTTAACAGTGTTGATAATATACAGCATAAATTTCTCCCAACTTTACAGAATAATTATTATTCAGGATTTTATCTCGACTATAACCTTTACATATCACGAGAATAATGCGTAGAGAAGAAAAAGATTTTTTTTTTTTTCCATAATATGAATATTTTTACTTTTTTATTGTTAATTAAAATTTTTTTAAATGAAAAATTCAATAAATTTAAAATAGTAATTTAAAACAAAAAATAAAGTTTTTTAATTAGAAATTCTGTTAAATAAAAATTCATATTAATAAAATATCAATTGAATAATAATAATAACGAAAATTTTTTATTTTCGAGAATGGAGGAAAATATTTTAGAAAAGAGATTTTTGTATTTTTTCAATAGAAAATGCTGCTTCGTTGCAATGTGATTTTTTTTTTTTATTTTCTTATCCGTTTGTCGCAATTATCAAAGTCTCCGACAGAGGCATTTTCTGAAAGCGATGTGCCGAGAATAGTCGAAGGCGGTACATAGAAACGTTTCCCGCTTGAGTTGCGCGCGGCAAAAGTTCAAATTGCTTTGGTTTTGAAACGACGACGACGAGTGGTAAAGTCTGATAAGTGTGTGCGCCGCGACAAAAATTTTTTGAGAGTACGGGAAAAATTCAATTGTTCCGAATTGAACGTAATACAATAGGAAAAGTAGAAAAAAAAATGGCGCAAAAGGAATTTAAAACCAAAAAAATTTTTTTTTTAAATTTCAAAAAAAGGAAAATAAAAAAAAATATAAGTATGGATGAAGCAAGTCAAGGCTTTTTCAAAGATCCTCTAACTTGAATACATTCTCACAGGTGGAGGATCGTTGGGAAAAAAGGGAGGGGGGGGGCACTTCTCCGGACATTGACTATAAAGCCGGAAGTAGGAGAGAAATGAAAGTACCTGAAATAAAATAAAGAAGAATAGACAGGGGAGAGAGAAAGCGAATAAGAAAGATGGGGTTTTTTTGGGGGGTGAGAAAAGGGTGGGGGGAGGGGGTGGAAGAGTTAGTGTTGCTAAGAACTACAGTGTCGATAAGTACCTTTTGTTCTATACTCGCCTCTCCACAGTCTGTTATCTCTCCCCTTAACTTTTTTTTTTGTTCCCTCTATTCTTTCACTTCTATGTAAAAACTTGTGAACTATGGGAAAAATGAGTTTAAAAAAAAAATTAATATCTCTTCTTTATTATATTTTTAAATGAAAAAAGCGATCTCTGATTTTTAAGGAAAAAAAATTATTTACAAAAAAAAACAACAAATTTTGTAACTTAAAAAAAGTTGAGAAAAAAGAGTATTATTCTTTTAGTTTGGAAAAAAAAATTTTGTTTAAATTAAATCGATTGCTTTATCAGTAACACTATTTTATTTATTTTATATGTTTTTCTTGGTATTTTGTAAATTTCGATAATAAAAATCTGTTTATTTAATTTAGAGGTTAAAATGAACGGAAAAAGAGAAATATACTTTGTAAATAAAAAAGAAAAAAAAAAAAATGTTGCTAATAAAATATTTTGTAACGGATGTTCTTTAATTTTGTATTTTTGCAAAATATTCCGGATTTGGTTTGTAAAAATAAATCATTAAATATGTAAAAGAAATTAATTTCAAATAATTACTATTGAAGAGAATCGGTTTTTGGGAGAAGAATTAATAGAAAGTCTGACAAAAACTGATATTTACGAACGAAATAAAAAAAAAAATGTATTGCAATACTGACTTGTATTACTTACTATAGAGAATTAGAATAATTTTAACAGGTTGGCTGACTGTTTTTACATTTAAAATATTTTGTCTGACTAAAACTAACTTTTACTACTGAAAAAAATTTAATTAAATTTTTGTCTGACTAAACTCACCTGTACTACTGATTTTTTTGAAATGCCATATATCTGATTAAAACACGTTTACAACTTATCAAATGAAAAATATTTTCACAACTTCGTCTGACTAATAGCAGACTTCTACTACTGAGAATAAATAATTTTTTTTTTTTAATACCAAACAATTACGCCATGAGGAAATAAATTTTTGCAATAAACAAATTTCAAAGGAATTTTACAACACAAAAAAATTTTATATTTACGTAAAATAAATAACACAAAGGGACAAAAGCAGTGGAATGTTTAATTAATATTGAAAGCTTCGTCTCTACCCTTTTCGTATGTTGAAATTGCGTGACAGGACAATAATCAGATATTACATTAAAGCCAATGCCAAGAGTTAAGTGATAAGGTGAAATTACAAACATGCATGTGTGTGTTGTCCAATTTTCTGGAAAATGTCCTTGTCTATTTCAATGTTTGTCTATTTAAGTCCCGCATGGTTTAATGAACAGTGAAACAAACCTCGAAATCAGATTGATTTAATTTTGGTCTCTATGTATGTATATATCACTCTTTTACAATTCCAGCATGAATCAAAATCAAAGGCCACATTTCTTCAGGCGAAATTTAATTAAAGGTCTTAAATGAAAATTTTTCAGGTTTTTTTTTTTTTTATTTTATCTTCTTTCATTTATTTTACTTTTCTTGTAATTTATTTCAAATTTTCGCCTCTAGGGTTAATTACTTTTCTAAGAAGAAAAAAATGTAGAATAGTAAAAAATATTGAACGAGACATCATTAAAAAAGCACGCGACGTTATATATATAGAGTGTAAAAGGTATAAAAAGCATTTTTAAAGGGAAAATAATTTTCCAACTTTTTGAAATAGTGAGACAGATAAAATTACGTTTTTTTTTTTATCAGGTGTGACAAATAAATATATAAATACGTAAAAGTCAAAAAAAAAAGTGGAATTTTTTTTTTCGTACGAATTATTCTTTTGAAATATTGGTGTATTTTGGGTGCGGTGAAATTTACTAGATTTTCTCTTGTGTTCTGCTTGACCATAGGATATATATATATATGTCTTACACTTGGAATTTCGCCAAAGGCAATAATTTTTCTTGCATTCTACAATGTATAACGACAATCCCGCGTGTGTAAAATGGTATTAATCAAATAATATAAGATCAGTGACCTGTCTAAAAATTTTACCGTAGTCAAACAAAGAAAATTCAACTATCTTTTTCTTCTTTTTCCCCGCATCCCATTAAACATCTTTTGTCCCTTTACCCTCATCTCTCTTTTTATTAGATTTAACTATTTTACGGTTAATTAAAAATTCCACTTTTTTTGATTAATTAATTTTCCTAAAAAAAAAAAAAAATGACAAAATTTTCTGTAAAAATTTTTATTTAAAGTAACAAAAAATTAATTTTACAAAAAAAAAATTGTTCATATTTTTGTATAGAAAAACAGAAAGAATAGAAAAAAAAATTCCAAGGTTGATATAATGGCACGAGTCAGTCGTCTTTATACTCACCCTCTTTCCCGAGACGGCAAAAGCTCGTAACTTAAATGGTTAAATGCCATTTTCAACTTTCCTGCCGTTTGAAAACAGGATATGAGGGGAGACTAAAAGAAGTTTCAGTTATGTGTGTTTCTCTTTTTTTTCACTGTTCGCAATTGACGTGATGGTTGCAATAAAAAGACGTAATTTTTTTTTTTTTTTTTTTTTTTTTTTTTTATACATATATGAAATCGTTTTAAATATTATACAGTTTTTAAGCTCCTTCTGCAAGTTATTTTTAAACAATGATTAAAATTCTTTAAAATTATTTTTTTGTTGTACAATTCCTTTGAAAATTATTTGCAAAAATTTATTTCCTCATGGCGTACTTGTTTGGTATTAAAAAAAATTATTTATTCTCAGTAGTAGAAGTCTGCTTTAGTCAGACATTTCAAAAGAATCAGTATAGTGCAGGTGATTTTTAGTCAGACAAAACTACATGTTTCTGATTTTAATATTAATTAATAAATTTCAATCCGACAAAAATAGTTTATAAA